CTGCTCTCCTTGGCGATGTTCTCCGCTGTCTTCAACTCTTAGGACAACCTTCTCACCAACCACGGTATCAAAGGTCATGGCTCTGTCAGCCGGAATGGGATGCCAATTTTGGATCTTCCCTGCATCGATGAGACGAGCACCTTTGCGAACAGCCAGTACTACAATTGGCAGTGGGTTCTCCGTGTGGTATGGTTCCGTTGATGGGATAGGCGCCACCCGAGCCGCCCATATCTTGTTGTCCAGGTTTCCAGTTCCAGTAACCTGCCACTTTAGTTTCTTGCCCATGCCACCAACTTTATCCAGGATCGAACGGGGCGCTGGGCGCGGGGTAATTAGGATGCTGTTAGCCATATACTTCAGGTCATTTGATTCAGCAAGCCCTGGGGGCAGCAATGGAGCCAGCAAATTCTGTGTCATGCTGTTTGAAACCTCTGGAGTAACCAGATATCCTGTGTAGAAAACGACACGCTTGATATACAGCCGTCCACAGCGGCTCTTGGTTACGTTCAAAGCAGGGTTGCGAAGTGTGAGGTTGTGGGCATTGACCATGCGCTGCACCTCAGCAGTCTCAGTTACAGGGTCAAGGTATGTGCAGCCCTCGGTTACCTGGATGACTTCAGCAAGGACGGGCATCCGGGCGGTAGCGACTCCACTTTGAAGTTCTCTGTTCAGATCCTCAAAGAAGTCACGGAACCCTTTCACACTAGTAAAAAGTTAATACTTTGATATGCACGGATTATCTAATTCATTTGCCAGTGGACTTACTGCTTGACACGGTCCTCATAGACGCGAATTTCCGTAGCCTGCTCGTAAGTGAAAACAAGATCCTCAAGAAAGTTTTGTTTGAACTTCATTGTCGTCGCAAACCGTTGACCATTTGGACCAACTTCGGGTTTGAGACCAATGAGGTCGAATTCAAGATTCTGACTAGCAGCCATGCGCTTGATGATGTCTGCAAAGCCAGCCTCACTTCGGCCGGTCAGCAAAACCGTAAGCGCATCTTTCTGCTCCATGCTATTCCGGACCAAACTAAGCTTCTTAAGGTCAGTGAAAACGCTTCGAAGATGCAGTAGATGATAGATAGAAAGCACACAATTTGCTCATTCCACCAGCCTTCCCATTTGCGAGGCTCTTCTGCCTCCATGCCCCTTCCTGTAGCGCCGAGAATGTTGGGGTCGTGCCACCATCCTCCAGTTGCAAAACTATCACTGGTCTGGAGGAAACCGATTGAGGAGCCATGCCATAATTGTGGGTTCGGTAGAGGACTTAGAAATACTGGAAGTGTGGATGTTAGTGGTCGAGTGTCGGAGCATCTCAAGTTTGCATATGCTCACAGGTGTTGTCGAAATCGTAGACGTGAATTGCGCGAATTTGAGAAACAGCTAGAAACATAATTTTTTTTTAGAATCATGAGAAAGCAGTGGACTGTTAGAAGATCTAACCTGGGAGCTCCTTATTCACGATAGACCAGCGCCGTAGTGAGGTGATGGTATGCGGCGGCCGAATCCCGCTTCCTGTGCTGTACGACATAGTGGTAGAACCAAAGCGGGCAAGTTTTTCTGAAACAACTGCTTTGGCAGACCGCATTCTGTCACGTAGAAAGGAGGAAGTTATTAGCACATAGCGAGAGAAAGAGGGTTGAAGTCGCAAAACGAGCAGGCGCGGTGACGGAGCTCCCGAGAAAACGGTTTTGCCGCCCAGATCGCCCGGGTGTGATAAACGTGATCCAGGAACTAAACCGTCCTGCAACCCACCCCTGGCATGTCGCCTGTATGGATGATGTCGATTTGCGACAGAAAATCCTCCAGCGAACTCTCCAAGAGGTAGCTGATGAGGAGAAGGAGGCGGCAAATCCTTGTGTCATCTGCTTAGACACCATCACTGAGCCCTGTGTGGCACAGCCATGTCAGCATAGCAACTTTGACTTCCTCTGCCTTGTCAGTTGGATCGAGCAGCAGCCCAAATGCCCGCTATGTAAGTATAATTGAGACAAACATGCCGCGCATCAGACTGGACTAACAGTATGGCAGGTAAAGTCGAGTTGACAGCAGTGCAATACGAACTCAACGCCACACAAGGTCCGAAGTTATACAAGGTCCCGCCTCCCAGCGCACCGATCACAGTTCCTCCGGTCGCTGTTCAATCACGTCCTGGTAACCGTTATGGCCTACGAGGAGGACGACGTCCCCCACCCCCGCCACGACTACCGCCAGATGACCCGCTCGAGCGCCGGCGCAACGTCTATCGCAATCAAACATACTCTATGCGGGTTGGATCCAACCGGCTATCTCAGTATCGTGAACTGACGCCCGAGATCTTCAGTCGCGACGACGAGCTCGTCTCGCGCGCTCGGAAATGGATCCGCCGCGAACTCCGAGTCTTCTCTTTCCTCAACCCAGAACCGGAAGAAGTAGAGCGGACAATTCACCAGGTCCCGCGCCCTGGAATTGAACGGCTGGAGAATCGCAGGGCGAACAATGCGGAGTTCTTGCTGGAATATGTCATCGCTATCTTGCGCACAGTCGATCTCAAAGGCAGTGCTGGACAGGCGGAGGAGTTGTTGCGTGATTTCATTGGCCGTGAGAATGCCTGTCTGTTCCTCCATGAGTTACAAGCGTGGCTGAGGAGTCCGTATACCTCTTTGGAGGACTGGGATCGTCATGTTCAGTACCCGCATACTCCTCGGAATACGTCTGGCCGAAGATATAGGGACTCTGAGAACTCGAGTCGTAGACCGACTCCTGTGAACAATCGCAGTAGGCCACAGAGGTTCCGAAGGCCATACAGGTCTAGGTCTCAAGAGGCGATTGATCGTTCTAGGAGGTTGCAGCAGGCCCAACAGCGGTACAATCCATATTAAATATACAGCTCGACATGAAGGTGGTAGTTACGCCTAAAATTTTGATTATTCAGGGAAGTCAGTCAATCTCTAGTTATAATTTTAAAAATAAGTGGGAACTCTGCTTCTCAACTATGAAGAATCTTTTCCTCCGTCGTCAACTCTCGCTCTGTCCTCGAGTTCGAGGCGGGGAGTAAGTACGCTCAGATCGGAATGATGTACCCAACCTCGAGGCGTCACAATAATAGCCCACATGGCGTCAGAGGTCATAACATTAGGTCCGTCGACCTGTGGCGCTGTTTTAGAAGGTCCAGGCGGAGTCGACTTCGCAGCCACACTCAACTGCTTGGTGAGGTGCTCCATCGCTTTCTACATTTGATGGAACTTGAGCCAATTTATCATCTTGGTCGAAGCCACAGACGTAATAATGTCTGTCAAAGATGGAGAACAGCAAAAGCATCAGGGTACAGCTCCATAAGACTGACATAAGATCATCTTCCATGCACGCGTCCTTCGAGTGTTCTTATAGTACGGCTGCTAGGCCTATTTCCATTTTTCAATGGTGCAAGACAAGCATACCAAGGGAGTTCTTGGTCGAATGAAGACCGGGGGAGATTTGGAGCTCGCAAATCCAAAGTTATCTTGATGATCGTAGTAGAAATCATTTGTGGAGAATATCTGGCATGTTCCAGGCAGCAGTTGGAGAGGAAGGATATAGATATGTTGATGACTACTTCATCATCTTTCAACGACCTATTGTGCATCTAGTCTTCAAGATCTCTTTCTTCCTGACTATAGATCTGATCTTTATATATACACTAACACTGGTATCTCTTGAGATTAGTTGGCTTGATGGTTGTTCCCCTTCTCCAGAATATATATCAAGCACAATTGGAGGATCAATTCAAGGTTGAGGACCTTCTCGAGGACATTTTCAAAAGTCCTGGGTGAGGAAATGAAATTGAAGAAATCTGGTGGATTGAACCACCTATAGACAGGATTCGGAGAGTTAAAGCAATCACACAGGTACTGCCAATCCGATTGGGCCCAATCCTCGAGCCATTTCGCTAATAGATGGCTACGTTGATCAAGGATTTCCCTCCTCACAGCTCAGGCATATGTAGCTTCCGATGGCACTGATATGTAAATCACCATGAAGCTCATTGCAGACATTTTCGAGATTATTCAGTGCATTTTCGAGCGTTGGAGAGCGCCGAGAATCTCTTCATTGTCCATTGCCTACTAATTGCAGACCCTGTGGCGAAGGTCGCGTCCCTCCCCGCAGGGGCTCTTGTTCTGCAGTGATACAAGTTTTCAATATTGCTGTAGTCAATGCATCGGCATCTGACAAAGTGAATGGTGGGATTCGTCACTAAACTTATTGTGGCTGGCTGAGTAGACCTCCCCGTCTGCCCGCAGGTTGTATACTACCGCAGGTTGTATACTATGCAAATAGGCGCGTAGCCATCCGGTCTCGGCGTCTCGAAAACCCTGCTCATGGGACCTTGATCTTGATCTTGCACCAGCAGGCAACTTGTTCCCATGTACCTCTAGAAGTTGGCGGACTTATTTTCCGTCTGCTACACAATGACACTTTTTATTGAGCTCAGACGGTGTTATTTTATCCTAACATTTCCTGCCAGGTAGAATGATACATACTAAACGTCAACACAGGACTTTGATAAATCGTCGATGAAGAGAAACCCTCATCCCTAAGACTTGACTCATGCAGCTACACTAAATCAATCCAACGTGGTGGTATTGCCACTAAGCCTACCTTTCGGTTAATGACTTGTTTCAAGGTCACACGCTGCACCTGCAGTCCCTCAAGTCCTATCTATCTCCTTACCTGGAACTCAATACATGCCACTGGCAAGATTCGAAAGACTCACCTATTTCTTCAATTATATATCAAGAATACACGTTTAATGAGCTTCGATCATATGGCGCATATGCTTTCAGCCGATCCTACCCTCGATATAATCTTGTGCTTCCCCATCTGTTGATCCTAGATTTGCCACCGGGCGAATGTTACTGTACTAATGGGGAGTAGGATATATGGATCAACAGAAAGCTCATTCCTTTTCGTGTTTTGAAGACTGGCATCGGCATTTATAAAAGTAGTACAGTCCTGAGTTGAGTATTATCGGTCAAATCAACAATGAATCCGCCAGGTCCCATGCCCAACGGAGTCCCCCATCCACAACAGAGTGACCGCATGGATCAGACATGCGAAGGCCATTCTCAGTCGCGGGATGACCTCAATGTACTCAACCAACTCCAATCAGCCGACTTTTACAGGGCGGTGGCCAAGATCCTGGAATTTCGAACGATATATATGCAAGAAAAACGAATCTTCATCAAAGGGGAAGCACTCATTCCAGTCTTGCAGGGACTCGGCGCAAGACATGATGATTTCGAACACATGAGACTCATCAGCGACCTTCTCGGCAAAGATCCCACCGTAGATTATCGGACCATTGGGTTGGGCCAGTTTGCTCTCGATCCGGAGAAATGTGAGGCAATGCGACTGGAGGACCAGGTCTTCGCTCTCACAGAGGAGGAAAACTACAAGCGTAATGACTTAGGATTCGTTTGGGATTTTCCACCTCTGAGCTCTGAATTCCAGCATAACACCGTTGTCCAAGCACTGTTTGTATTCAAGTCGATCATGATGCAAAGGTTCCCCGTGGACCGGCGCCAGGGGCTGGACTATGATAGTGATAGCTGGATCTGTAATTGTTTCAATGTCCGCACCTTCACTAAGAATGACATCCAGCGTCATCCCGCCCTGGAAGGGGTGCATGAAGATGGCGGGGATCACACAATGACAGTACTCTTGCACTCTGAGAACCTTCGCAAAGACAGTGGAGTCACGCTGTTTCATGATAATAGCGAGACCACAGGGATCTCGGGGTATGAAGCCGAACCTGGTCTCATCGTCGACCGATTTCAGCACCGCCACTATTTGGATACCTTGATGTTTGCTGACAACAGCTACAAGCACAGTGTGTCTCCTGTGCATCAATCTCGCGAGGAAAATCGTGCCGTTCGAGATATGCTGGTCCTCATCACTCGGAAGCCTAAGCTGCCCGGGCATCCCTCAAAAATCATGGACTCAATGGGACCGAACCGACGAATCCCATTGCGGTTTCCGCTATGGCTACCTGGGTCCTCGCATATCCCGATAAAGACTGAGAGGGTGGATCTGGGTTAAAAAAGCGAGTCTTGCGAGGGACATGTGTCCACAAGAACGGGCTTCAAATTTGTTGCGACGCCAGCGACATTTTGGTAGTTGGATCTGATCGGTAGTTGGAGACGTACTATTGTTCGGGATTGTTTCAGCATTTGATACATAGTTCTTGGTCTGAGTGATGATACGCTATGAATTTCTCAAATGACATGCTATGTATGCTAAATATGAATGTATGAATGTAGTCGTTAATTCATGAAAGAGCAGAGCTGTCCGGTTTTTACTTCCGGCGAAAACGGCCTCTACCCCGCGAGGAACCTCTGTTGATGCTTATTGATCGATAATTCGCATGAGCCTCGGGTTTGATCTTCCGGGCACGAGGTTTCTTTGATTCAGCAGTCTCGGAAGGCTTTTTCGGAGGTTTTCCTAGGGGTTGTTGTTCATCAGGCTTCGAGGCAGACGAAACAGCTTCCTTGATTCTCTCCGAGAAACTCTTCGGTCTAGCCACGGGCTTTGGTTGTTCTCCGAATTCGGGATCCTCATCCGAGTCCGGATCAAACTCAGCCTCAGTGTCAAGCTCGGGCTCCGACATGGAATGAAGTGAAGCAGCCTCGTCTGCCCGCTCTATATCACTTGAGACATCATCCCAGCTGTCGTTGGTAGCAGGTGGTTGCTGCGTCTCCGGAACTGCTACAAGGTCGTCCTCGTGTTCCCAGTCCTCCTCCATCGCAGGAGCTGGGTTTGGTTTAGGCTTTGGTTGATGAATCACTGGCCTCATGATCACCCTTCGGGTTGTCCGCTTCTGACCCTTCTTCTTGTATTTTCGGTTCATGTCTGGCCCTTGACTGTCCTCAACTTGGAGCTTGGCGGCTTCTTCCGCTTCCGCCTCTTCCTCCATCTCGCGCATCACATCCCAGTCGTCGTCCATGCGATCCTCCTCCATGTCTCGCAGTCCTTGGACCAAGTGCGTTAACCCCTTACTGGCAAATCTTTGCGGCTTGCGTGAAACAATAGGACTGAGTCCTGGAACATCAGGCATTGCGCTAGGTGGCGGATAGCGACCGGAGTTAGAGCGACGGAGGAAAGATGGTGTCCCAGACTGCGCTTCTTGTGGTGATATTTCAGGCGCAGGGTTCAGCGAATTCTTTTTCTGTGCATCTGCATTATCCTCTGCTTCTACTATGGCGGCATAACGCATTGTCGTCGGTGTTGCGAATAAATTTGCAAGATAGAACTGCTTGGTTTCAGACGCAGGGGTCCGCGCAAGTCTGGGGGTCTCATGCTGAGCTTCTTCTTCCGGGTCTTCGGGAATTGTGTTCACAGGTCTTCGTTTGGATGGTGTTTGGAACGTGGCTGTTAGGTTATTCGTTTGCCTTGTGGCAGAAGGCGTTCCACTACTCCCACCAGATTCAGATAGCATATCGAATAGCCCTAATGTCTTTCCGTCACGCTGAGGCGTAGGCCCGATTGCGACTTTGAATGGCGAGGGTGCTGGTAATCCTTGTCGATGTGTGCTGGGACTAAAGAGTCTGCGAAGAGTCGACGGCGAGTCATACGGATCTAGTTGCGCCGGGTGTTGCTTGGTGCGATTGTTGGATGGCGTCGCAAAGAGTCCTCTGGATGATTTGCGGGGTGTGACTTGAAGAAATGCACCATCCTGACTGGGGGGAGATGCATGTTTCCGCTTTTTTGAGTGACTATCATAGGGCTCTGGTCGACTATTTTCGCGACGGCGTAGGGATGCCTCAAGAGCCTTGAGGCGACTGTATTCCTTGTATTTAGCAGCTAGTGCATCGAAGAAAATTTGGAATTAGTAATTCTGTGATTTTAAATATCATATCGCAAAAGATCTTACCGATATCTGCGTTTTGTTTGATGTCATCGCGTCCAGCTTTGCGGCCCCCATTGGCCGACGCGAAGGCTTTCTCCCATGTTTTCAATTCTGCACGCACATTGACAGCTTGGGCGCCAATTTCAGCACTGGAATTCAGAACGTTGTCGGCCATTGTTGCATTGCACGTGTTATGAGACAACCTGAGAGAAGGGTAGTCTGGCCGTAAATAGATCGATGCGCGTCACGCGACGCGACCTAATTAACCTAAATCAGATCAAAGTGGTAGGCGGTCTGATATTGCAACGGCTATGTGCAATGCATTTAGCCCGAGTAGACAGGCGGTATGTTTCTGCCAGAAAGTGAGGTGATATTGAACTTCACAAATAGATATTTCGCCCTCGGGGCCTACTGTAGACTGAAAATATACAGGGAAGATTAACATTACCCCTGCACTGAGGATGATACGCAATCAAAGAGAAGCTCCCTACTTTTTTTTCTTCCTTTGACGTCCCATGTCGAGGTCCTACAGTGTGGGGGTTGAGAGCTGTATAAGTTCGATATAATTGGTCCTACGACATAAGATGTCACGTGAGCTTTCACGTGGGGGGACCCCCATTTATGCATGCCCTTACAACATATTGTCGTACTCCGTGCTCCGTATGTAGTACATAACAACGCAGTACTGGGCACCACCTGGGCATTTTGTCTGATCTTATTAGAGCTTTCAATGGTCCACTTACTAACTACGTGCATTGCTCTTTTGAGTGATTGAAAAGTATCCGGTATTGCTCCATTGGGCGTTCGAGTAATCTTACCGACGTAATTGCTATCCACCTATCTTTGTCCGGACCAGGGAATGACCCCGTCCGATCTACATGTATAGGTATCAAATTATTATGATTTACTGACCCTTATTGCAAACCATACACTATCTGGGACTTCTATCTGTGCGGCGAGAAATACCTCTCCAGGCTCTCCCAATACTGAATGCACCGTCTGTTCCCAAATACGTGCGCTTTCCTTTAGTAAAACAGAACCCCATTGCAATAAACAGCATCACCACAAAGACTAAAACTGCCCAGTTTGTTGTGACAACACTGGGAGATGGCTTCCCAGGAAGAAAGAAGAACACTGTAGTGACACAGCAATAGATGAGCCCAACCCAATTGACCACAGGGCGTAGGCGCCTAGGAAAAAATGGTCTCAGTGGAAGATCAGATATTCCAAAAGCCACAACCACAGATATGGGTAGTGCATATGATACAGTCAAAGCAATTGTGGAAACACTGACTACTGCTTCTACGGCAGCCTCTGTAGATAAGTATAAAACGGCAAATCATCTGTTAACTATAAATTGCACTTACTTTTGTATTGGGTCGCTACTGTCCCATCGTATCTTTCTCTATTTATTTATCACAATAGTTCCTACACTAAAGATTCCAAGTACTGTACAAAAATGGCCGCCATGCCAGCTCAACATATCCTGCCATCCCGGTGGAGGACCCAACCGTACTAACTAGACGACTATATATCATCTAAAACTGTGCCAACGGAGTCAGAAATTATAATTATTGGAGCCAGAATATTGAGCGTACGAGTTGCGCATCAATCTAAAAACAGTATACATATCTCAAAACAGTATAAAGATCCAAACCAGCACAAGCGTCCATGTTGGAGGCGCGTTAAGCATGCTCCAGGGCAACAGATCGAAACGTCAAGTCACCAACTCTTAGTTATTGTTTCTTATCACAAATAACAAAATGGAACTCGGCGATTATCTAAAGCCAGAGCCGTATAGCTTTATCGGTTAGCTTACCGCGGAGTACGGCCTAGAACTAGCTAAAAAGGTAGCTGAAGTTCAGCGATCTCACGTTGATACAATTAGTAACCTTATGAAATTGGAGAAGATTGATTGCGATCTTCTCATTGCAAAGGCAATCTATGTTCAAATGAATCCCAAAGGATGCAGAAAAGTCAAATCTGCTAAATGTGTCAGCTTCTTCGAGCAAAGAGAAGCGGAACTAGCACGCGTTTCTAATAAAGAAAGTCATCGGAATAAATTACTAATAAATTGTCGATAGAGCTCTCGTGTCAAGGGAGCACAAGTAAGCTATGAAGCAGGCCATATCTGGCCTTACAAATTAGTCCTCCGCATCATTGACCGTTGTGTTGAACAAGGAGCAGAACATCATACGCACAGTCCAGCAAGAACGTCTCAACGACCAATGATAACTCTGGTCAATATATTTTTGACACACCGCGGGGTGCTATCAAAATATAACACATTTTTTTCGTCAGCAATGCCTACATATCAGGTGTTCATCCCATATATGCAGACAAAAATGTCCCAGAATCAGCAAGTTCCCATAGAAAGTTTGAATGGGTCATTTGTTTTGGTCAAACTTCGCACTAAAACCTAGATCTCGGATATCCCCCGGAGCCTCTTACCAGTAAGAATTCAGGGGAAGATAAGCATAACGTACCTTGCACGTGGAGGTCACATGATGTCATGTGACCCTCCCCGCACTTCTTATCAGTTGTCTCCGTTTCCTCGGTTATTCGACTTCGTCGAACGCTTGATAACTCCCATTTTTGTCTCTTCGTATTGTACCGCAATGAGAGCCGTACAGATATGCCCCCAAAACGTGAGCGTACAGTTCAAGGCTCGTGTTGGCCCTGCAAACACCGCCGGGTGAAGTGTGATCTTGGGAAGCCCTTTTGCCAGAGATGTGTTTCATCTGGGGCAAAGTGCTGTTACGACAAGCTTTTGATCAGATGGAAAAAGACTCCACCGACAACTAAAAGCTTGATCATGTCCCAACCTCCATTTATGAGCCTCAATATGCACTTAACAGAAAAGTCCTTGGCCATTGGGGACCTCAAGGCCCTTGAATACTTTCAATTCGCTGTATGGCCTCTTTTCACCACTGCGGCTCATCCTTGCCCACCACCCATACCTCTCGCCATGGAATGTCAGCCGGTACTTCTGGCTGTATGTGAGTTGGCCGAGGCGCATCGCACACTGCGGGACAAGGCTGGGAGTAACACGGTCACCGCACCATTTGATAAAAGAATGAGCTGCCTGGCTTCAGTCAGGGAGCAGCTTCGAACCAATAATTCCAATAATGCATCACTTTCGCCCCTGCTGATCGCAGTCTTTCTGCTCTATTTTCTGGACGGGTTTATTGAATGTGGTCATCCATCTGCCTCGACAGCAAGTCACCACGTGGGCGTCCAAGCGATTGTTGATCACCTTGGAGGCTTTACAGCTCTTATCAACATGGGTCAGAAGGACATCACTATGTTGCTATCAGAGTTTGCATCTACAGACCTGACAAAGGCTCTGCTGGACGACCGAGCTCCTTGCTTTCCTGCTGAAATCTGGACACAGATAGAACACGGGACAGTGTGGTGGGACCAGGAAACCTATAACGGAACGACACTTGCATCAGTATTTCGAATACTTGCAGAAATGTCACTGTATCGCCAGCAGATCAGAACAGACCCGGAGACATTTGCAATGGAAGTGGTACAAGCTTTTGAGCGGTGTCTACAGCCGTCATTCCAGACTCTCAACCTTGACCACATGGAAAATTCCAATGCCTACACTGTGCATGAATCGACGCTTGAACCAAGGATGCAGGCTGATTCCTTCACGCGTGCTTTTCAACACAGTGCACTCGTCTACCTATACCGAGCAATCTGTGGCCTTCCACCGAGGCATTGTTTGGTGCAACAGCATGTTCAGTCCTGTGTGGAGTGCATCAAAAGCATCTCGCCTCTTTCTAAGGCCCATAACTGTATAATATTCCCATTGTACGTCATGGGCGCCCACACTTTCCTACCAGATCAGCAGGCCTTTGTTTTGGAGAGACTTGATTTCATATACAAATACTTACGCTTCAACGCTGTACTGTTGGTCCGCACAGCGTTGGAGGATTTATGGAAGTCACCGCGGCATAATGGGGACTGGTGTGACATGTTTAGATCTCTAGGTGAACACGTGCTTGTGATCTAGCTAGAGCTGTAATTACTATGAGCGTTGAAGCGAATACCATGCATTAATGACATCCCGTCAGCCTGTTAGGCTGACGGTTGATTTAAGACTTGAGGCTGTCAGAAATTCCAATATAGGCTTAGTTCCAATGACCTCGGACCCTCCCCCAGTCCAGAGTCTTGAATGTGCGGGGGGTGAGATTGTTCGGAATGTCTCTGCCTAGTATCAACGACACTGATAGAACCAGGCCCTAGCGACCTCTTCCATCATCATCCTCTTTTTCTTTTGACAATGGCCATGTCCTGCGAGCAGTCCCCGTTCGATGACGAGTTTGATGCTCTTGTGAAAGAGCAATTAGAAAAATGGAAAGTCCCCGGCTTGAGTATCTCGATTCTTCATGGCCCCAATACATACACTAAGGTAAGTCCATTAATTTACTTGATGTATCAGATACTCACGGGATACAGGCATATGGAAAGGCGGAACTGCCAAATCCCAGCACAGATCGACCACAACGGGACATGACAACCGACGCGTTGTTCTCAACATGTAGCACCACCAAGGCTTTCACAGGTGCTGCGACCTCCATGGCAATCAAGGACAGCAAGATCACCAAGTCCCCAATCGACTGGGACACGCCCGTGTCTTCTCTAATCCCAGATGACTTTATCCTGGAGAACGACTACGCTACCAAGAATACGACTCTTGAAGATGCCCTATCGCATCGATCAGGTATACCGGAGTATAACTGGACCTCGGTTCTATACCCAAAGACGGGCGAAACATCACGCTCCATAGTTCGCGCGATGCGATACATGCCCCTCGCGACACCACCGCGCACCAAATACCACTACAGCAATCACATGTTCATTGCCATATCGCATGCGTTGGAGCAACACACCGGCGAAAATCTGGGAGCGTTCATGAAGAAACGCATCTGGGACCCGCTTGGTATGAGCGAAACGTTTTTCTCGCCAAACGAAGCAAAGGCAAACCCATTGACCGCCGCAAAACTTGTGCAAGCATACGACTGGGTTCCCACGAGGGAAGGCGGAACGTTCATTCCACGGCCACATAATGACTGGGCAGCTAACAGTGGTGCTGGTGCTATCGTCAGCAACGTTCTCGATTACAGCCGTTGGATACGGGAGTTGATTGAAAAAGCTGGGCCGTTGAAAGGGCACGACTGCTTGACATATCCGCGGACGATATACTTTCAGGATGATGACTTGAGTCTGCCGGCTCCGTATCATGGGTACGCGCTCGGGTGGGTCGTGGATAACTACCGCGGTCAGCATTTGTATAGCCATGCCGGTGGCTGGCCTGGCTACGGAACCTGGGTGGGCTTCGTCCCTGAGAAGGATTTTGGATTTGTGGTCATGGGCAATTCCTCTTCGGCTCGATATGCTGCGTTTAGATTGATCACTTATCTTTTGGACAGGCGACTTGGTCTATCTGATGATCCGAAATACGAGCAGCAGATCGATGCTTGCATTGCAAGACAAACCAAGACATGGGACTCAAGTCATAAAAATGAGGATATGGAGGACTCAAAGGAACGGTTGTTCCCTTCTTTACCCAACCCGCCAATCCCATGTGCCTTGCATATATCTAAATATGCTGGAACATACAAAAACTCCATGGGTTTGACTATTAGAATTGAATTCATGAGTCATAGACTCATGGCTGACCTGCGGGATCGAGTCATTCCATGTGAACTTTCCATTGTTCATGCAAGCGGAGAACATTTCGTGGGCCGCATCCATAATTCAGGACTCAATTTGTTGCCGCCCTTCCCAGTGGAATTTTATATTGATGCTACCGGTGTGGTGAAAAGAGTTGGACTCCTTTTGGAACCCGCTTTGAAAGGAGAAAAGGTCTGGTTTGATCGGTGTGACTCCTAGGTTTTGTGCTGCTATACAAGAGACAAGAGACCGAGCGGTATCTAATACATACTACGGATCATTCCATTTTTGCCCAAAAACTTCAGCGCGTGATACTTTCCTCGTTATTAAAGTGTTAAAGATTGCCCTTTAAAACCAAAGCCAGGACTCCATTATCTCCAATCACCAACTCGTCAACCCTTTCACTCGATCAAACCCACCCCTCAGCTGTGTCTCAGGATGCACAACCTTCCCCTGTAGAATAGTGTACTTAACAATTCCTTCACAATGCTCAGGGCGTACCCGCGCAAGCCAAATCATCTGTTGATCCTTCTTGCGATAGATCAAAACATTCGCAGAAAATTTGTGCCCGCCGACATGCGACACAAAGAAAATGCCCGCCCCGCCAGGCCGAGAGTCATCCGCATCCCGGTCCAGCCCCAGCGGACGGAGTTGCCGCTCCATCTCACGCTTAATGAGTGGCGCTGTAATACCACAGCGCGCGTCTCGGCGTCCGTGCGAGCATAGTAGGATCACGTAGTCAAGTTCACAGGGTCGAGCGCTCATTCCATTGACGGGAGAGATAGTGCCGTTTCCATTTTGATGATCGATAGGGTGGTCAATGAATCTGGCTATTAGGTCTGGAACGTCTGTCTGTGTGACGGAGTCGACGTATGTGAATGATGGTAGAATCAGGACTGTCGTGCCCTGGTCAGAATTGTCCGTGGTTGGCTGTTCTGGACGAGTGATATTTGATGCCGAGACTTTTATGTGCTAGATCGGGTGTTATTGAAGGTAGGCTAGATGTGAAGTTTCAAGCTTACGCCGTGGTCTGACTTCGCCCCATCGAATGATTCCATCAAACTTCCTTTTATATTTTCGACATTCTTTTCCTTCCAGTCAGATTGGCCCGTTGCTACGAGAACATGGACTTGAAATTCCTTGATTTGACCATAGAGAGCTCTTGAGGTCTCGACTTTGACTTTGATGGGAATTGAGTTGTGCAGTCTGCGCAGTCTTTTAAACATTCGGGGCCGTCCTCTTTAGGATCCACTTTGGGAAAGAGGTAGTCGTTAGCGCTGGTGCCCATGCGGCCCAAGGAAAGCAAGGAGCGTAGCATGATCGAAGCTTGCTTGATATATGTAGACAAGGTCAAAATTTGCAAGTTGGGTTCAGGTTTTGGGTGTTTTGTAGTTGAGGTTTGAGATCAGGAGTTGAGATATATGTGTACGCCAAAGTAACTCCGAGGTATATGCCGAGCCCGGTCGAAAAGCCCGAACTCCGAGCCGATGCGCTATCTCCAGACCCGGATCTTTTTAGGGCTGATGCTAAGTGGAGATACATTAAGGGACCCCGTTTGATCCTCGGGCGTACATACTCCGTAGTTTTCCTTTAGCCTAATGCGGAGAGCTGCAGCTAACATCCATCTGATCTGCATCTCCCACGTGGAATCACCAAGCCTGAGGTACACGTCACATCTTGCTATCCTTAGGCTATGGCAATTAGCCATTGATGAGTGTACCGTCTAGGCTGTCAGATCCGCGCGCAGAAATCCACTCGATATCAACCCACGCTTTGACCACGTCTTTGAAAAACATATACTATTCGTGATATCGCGAGACAAAACGGTATCAAGACTGTCACCTATGATTCTTGTATGCTGTATGGATCCAAAATCTCGTTCAAAGGGCGATGAAATTACGAGGACATTGGCTGTTGAAGTAGGCAGCACTCTGTTGTGACTGACTTTTAAGACAAGATGTCGATTTGCAGGCTCAAATAGGATGATTTTGTGAGTGACAATCAATATGACAAACGTTTACCTAGTATTATATGGTTACCTGTAGGATCCTGGCGAGCAAAGAAGGACTTGGGTCCCATAAACGCGTATAACCTCCCGGCGGTGCTGAGTATCTTGATTCGGAACCAGAGTCACATCGGGGATTATCGTGTGCGCATGTCATTGCCTGGAGGTTGCCAAGACATGCAGTTGCCCATTGTCAATGCTTGGATATTTTCCGGTACAACATGAGCCTTCAAAGATGATCGATTCCGAAGTGTGAAGGACAGGATGATATACCCGTGTCAATGCATTGAAACCCGTATAGTGACACTTTCGCCCGGTTTGGGTGTGTTCATGATATCGAGACTAATATTTTGGCCATTCGAAAAATAGATGCGACAGAGTATGTGCACGATATCCCGAAGAAATAGAAAGAGAAGAGAAATGTCAATGCAAAAACAAGACGAAACTAAAAAAAACAAGAAAATTGAAAAAAACCACGCGACGTCGGTCAGACTTTCCGCATTGGGCCGGCCCACGGGCGCAGAGCGGGACCACGTAAGCCGGGGCTGAGCCAATTCCCAGAACTTCCCACACATCTCGGACGTAAGAACTCTCCTAAGTATAACCCGAGTCTTCAACACCGAGATGGATGTAGGGAATGCCCAGCCCGACCGCGTGCGCAAGCGTCGCCGCCGCACAATGGCGTGCACGCAGTGTCGCACGCGCAAGTTACGATGTGATCGCGAATATCCCACTTGCAGTCGCTGTTTAAAGAGCAGAACCCCGAGCAAATGCACATATGAGGATGGCTTCTTATGGCAGCAGCCAAGCACTGTCGCGACTACTGCATTTGTCGCCGACCAAAGATCTACAGGGTCTATGCCTGCAGATACCCCGATTGACACACCTCCAGACTCGGGAATACCAACTGTGTCAACCCGGACGGAGCCTTTCCCAGCGAGCGAACCTCCACGCATGGCTATGGCTGGTAGCCCAATGCATCATGATTACCATGGCCTTACGGGGCATGCTCTTGCACCGCCTTACAGAGGTCGACCACACGACAGAGAGCGAAAGGACTGCTTTTTGGAAACCGTTCTCGGTGCTCCGAAGGCTGCTGTCAATCAGGAACCTTATGTGAACATGGGCTTACAGCGTCCCAAACGCCCGGCGCCTGCATCAGAGCAAGATATGCAAGCACCATCGCGGGTCGTTTATGCGCATCTTGACGAAGAAGAGGACCCGCTGTCACCTACGGACCAGCTAGACCTTGCTCCTCGCATGATGATGAGGGGCCAGGAAACTAAAACGCGCTTTAGCGGATCAGGCATCTTTGCTAGTCTAGTTGCACAGGTCTGCACCTACCCCATTTTCCTTCCCCCATCTGCTCTTTCGATTCCAATTGTCAATGGCAATCAAAATACAGAGGCTGACATGTTCGTAGTTTCCGGATATAAGATCGTTTGCAGAAGAGATCAGACTTTCTACTCCGATTTTCGCGCAACTTCAGCCAGATCTGAGGAGGGTCAAACGCGGGCTATTCAAACTCATGGTGCTCAATCGACCCTTCCCTGACCCCACGACGGCTTCGTTAATTAACATGCTGCCGTCGCGCGGCGTGGTTGATGAACTGATTGGGTTGTATATCACTTATATCGAGTCCACTCACCGCATTCTCCATGTTCCATCCTTCTTACGAGAGCTTGAACAATTCTGGGCCATGTTAGATAGTCCAGCCTCAATATCTGCTGCCTTTACAGTTCAGGTACTGTTGGTCCTTGCCTGCGCATGGAACCTCGCGGATTTTGCTAGTCTGCAGTCAAAAAGTGTGGGCGAACTCAAGTGCCAGTCGGCAATGGAATGGACGCTGCATGCAGAAAAATGGATCGAGAATCTTCACACTAAGCGCCCGGAGATCACATCAATGCGGCTGTCTGTTTTATTAATTTTGGCGCGCAACTCCCACGGGATGAAACGCAGCCAAGCTTGGCTCACTACAAGTACATTGGTCAAGCAAGCAATGATGGCAGGATACCATCGCGATCCGAGCCGGTACGCACGGATCTCTGTATTCAACAAAGAGATGCGACGGCGGCTGTGGACAACCATTGTGGAACTGGACCTGCAGATTGCTCTTGACCGAGGAATGCCACCGTCAGTCCAAAGCTTTGACTATGATGCGGCTCCGGGGCTGAACATTTTCGACGACGAAATTCACGAAAATAGCACCGAGGTTCCCAAAAGCCGACCACTGGGCGAAGTTACCGACTCGTCATTCCAGTCTATCCTAAGCCGTTCGCTACCTCTGCGCCTTCAGGCTTGTTCTCTCATGCACTCTCCACGAATCAACTGTCGATATGAGGATATCCAGCGCCTGGATGGTGAGCTCAACCGACATCTCTCTCGAATTCCTGCGTGGGTGACAGTAGATTCCAACGACATTACCACCCAACACAAAGTAATACTTTGGAAAGGGTTGATTGAGACTAAACTCTCGCAGACTTTACTATCTGTCCACACCCCTTTCGCCATTGAAGCCCGACGAGAATCACTATTTGCCTCCTCTGCGCGTACTCGCATGGATGCCGCCACCAGAATATTGACCACCCAGCGCCGGCTACACGAGATCTCGCGAACGCTGTCGCTATGTATGCTTGGCGAATGGACTATTCATGCCTATATTTCCATCTGCCAATTGCTACACACAACCGAATGCGACACCTGTCAGTCTTCCCCGAGATTTGATACCTTCTTATGAGAGTACTAACATACCTTTTACAGCTGCCCCCTCTTATCCCATCTCCTCGACCTTCATTCTCCACAATATACCCGGAGTCCCCGAATCGCTCCTATCACTCGTAGAAACAGCCTTGATCGCCTTGGAAGAGCGTTCCCTTTTGGTGACCAAGGGAGCCAAAGACTATTATTTCCTATCAACGATCGCCGCACTAGTCAAAGCCCGACTCTGGCCGGCACAAGCACCTATGTATAAGCAGCAGGTCGTCGAACGAGTACTGTCATTTGCGCAGATTCTCTTCTCTCGGCACATGAACTGCGATCACCTCGGCGACAAAGGGGTAGGTAATTTCAAAAACAACCAGCTAGCTGCGTTCATGGCCGCTCCAATAATGGTGCCTGTGATGCAGCCCGAATTCGATCCCAATGGGATGCTTCCGCCACCGCAACCTGGCGCGTTAGTGAGTCACATGCTCTCTTTGGTTCTCGCTCTTTTTCGCGCTAATCATGAATTTCCAGCGGCCTGATGAATTCGATCCTTTCTTGGAGATCTTCGATTGGGAGGATCTGACAAGTATGACGTTCCCCTGTTGACCCGAGCAGATGGAGCATTTTTTTATACGGACACTGTACGATATACGCCTCGACTGGATCTGCTACGCCCCTACCCCTTGTACATATTTGAGCTCATGGAATACCCAGTAAATATCAAGAAATCTAGTCGCAATGCGGTCATTCATATTTCGTTGCGTAATCATGAATGTTGTCATTTAGCCGGGTCCACCATGAGATCATGATCGGGGAGATCAACATTGACGGCACGCAAGGGAGGTCGAACCAAAGTGAAGACCTTAGGCCACAGTTAGCATTTATTTTGATTAGTGCCGTTATACGGAACTATTTTCTTTAGCGTTGACTGTTTTTTGAGAACCTTGCCTGATAGCGCGAAGGTCTTGCTGGCTGTTGATCATCACAGTGGCTACTGTGGGGACATTCAATAATCAGGCCTGGATTCTATGCAATCTTTGTATGTCACACAATAAGAAACAAGAAATTTAAGCAATATTATAAGAAATAGACAGGCCGAGTCTAGTACTTAGGGGTACGCCCACATACGGCTGATAATGGCTGTGGAGCCAGGTATCTTTAGGTACCCGTCCAAATATAGAAGTGGATGTGATCCCGATCTGTCCAAGACATAAAAAGTCAGAAAGCAAAGGACTTGGCTTTACAATTGACTTCGATAAGGCTAGGCTGTGCTGTTCTTTTTCACTGCTTGCATATATTAGGGATTTCTCTCCCTTTGACTCTTTATCTTCGCTTCTACTGTTCTCTCCCCCTTTTCACTTGACTGCGCTGGACATCAAAAGGCAGAGCAGAGTCATGTGTGTCACGATCTGATAACCCCCAACCCCCCGACAGGCCAATCCCCCCCCAATAGAATCCCTACATTTCGGGTATAATTCAATGTACATAACCACTGCGACGATGCATCGCTTTCTACTATTATCAATAATCATCGCGATCGCAGCTCCACTGGTCGGGTCCGTCCCAACCGAAGCCCGGAGCCACAAACCGAAACAAGTATACAAAACAACACACAAGTACCCCCTGGCAAATCCAGGAAACATCCCAGCTCACGACCCAAACATCATCTTCCACAACGAGCACTACTACCTCTTCAAAGGAGGGATCAACATCCCAATCCTCAAATCAGCCAACATATCAGGTCCATGGGAAGAGCTCGGCACAGTTCTAGCGGGCGACAGCAAAATCAAAAAAGGCAACCGAGCCCGACCATGGGCGCCGACAACAATCGAAAAAAATGGCACGTTCTATTGTTACTACACGATCAGCGCAAAAGGGTCCCGCAACAGCGCCATTGGCGTCGCAACGACGAGAGCCCTTGATGGCAATCCCTGGACCGACCATGGTGTCGTCATTAATACAGGCAAAGGCCCTGGGTCCAAGACCTGGCCGTACACGATCACGAATGCGATTGATGCGTCTGTGATCGTTGATCAGGGTTCTGGACAGGCTTATCTCAACTACGGAAGCTTCTGGCATGGTATATGGCAGGTGCCATTGGATGATGATTTGCTTTCTGTGAAGAATGCGAATGGGCCAGATGCGGTGCAGTTAACTTTTATGCCGGACGAGAAGATCAGGCCTGAGGAGGGTGCTTGGATGAGTTTTCGTCAAGGGTTCTATTATCTTTGGTTTAGTCATGGGAACTGCTGTAACTTCCGAAAGGGGTTCCCTAAGCGTGGGAAGGAGTATAGCATTCGCGTTGGCAGGTCGAAGAATGTGCGTGGGCCTTTTGAGGATAAAAAGGGCAAGTCATTGGTCGACGGCGGTGGTACGGTGGTCTATGGTTCGAATCATGGGGTTGTGTATGCGCCTGGTGGTTTGGGTGTTTTGGATGCGAAGAATGATTCTGCGCCGGATATTCTCTATTATCATTATTTGAATACGTCTATTGGCTTCAAGCATGGGGTGAGTCTTGGGTTTGGCTTTGCTTTAGCTTTGGAATTGGAAACTGACTGGTCTCGCAGCAAGCCCAGCTAGGCTGGAACTACCTGGACTATGAGGATGGATGGCCGGTGCCTTTTGGAGGTCAAAATGCCACAGCCAATGTTGCCCTCGGTTACGGGCCTCCTAGTTGGGGTTATATGATGATGATCTTTGGTATGGAAACTTTCATAATCATGCGTGTTTTATGCTGATGCGTGTATAGGTTTATGGCTGTGCATATACAGGTAATTATAACAGTCACCCTGCCCTGTTCTCCGTTCCACTATGTTTCTTTCGTGCTTTTCAGCGATTGCATTCATATACCATGACGGCGTTTGGCTGGATTCCCGGAATGATGTCCCATCTAGTGAACATTTTATTTCGTTCTTCATCAATAGATAACATTGGCATAACAAGCCATGGCGCTACAAAACAATTTATGTCCTTGAAGCCACGACCCTATTCCCACCCACCATCGACACTAAGAATCTGTCCAGTCGTATACGACGAAGCATCACTGAGCAAGAAAACAACCGTCTGAGCAACCTCCTCACTCGTCCCGTGCCGAGGGATACTAACCGGCGGAATGCTCATCCCGCCCTGGATTTCCCTTGCCTTCTCAAGCAAAGGCGTCTGGATAGAACCACTAATTCGGAACAATCAGTCAGGCCCACCAGAGACAACCACCACAAAATACTCACGGCGCAACAGCATTAACTCTGATCTCAGGCCCAACCTCCTTCGAAACCGACTTCGTCAACCCCGTAACAGCATGCTTTGTAGTCGAATAACCAGCATGCAGCGCAAAGCCTCTCAGTCCCTGGATACTCGACGCATTGACGATACTGCCCTTCCCACCGGGCGCAGTCGCAGTAATCGCCTTCAGCTGCGCCCGCAGACAGTACATCAGTCCGGTGACATTAACACGCATCAACATATCCCACTCGGCGTCATCCTGGTCGACGAATTTGCCAGTGCCGTGGTTCCTGCCAATCGTGCCAGCCATGTTTGCTGCGCCATCCAGTCGTCCGAAGTGTGAAACAGTACCGGCAATCCAGTCTTGTACGGCGCTCGCGTTACCGATATCAAGCGCGGTTGTTGTGATAGTCTCGGCTGTCGAGGAGCCGAACTCGGCTTCAATTGTCTCCCGTGCTATGGTGAGGACGTTTTCGCTCAAATCTGCCAGAGAGAGGAGGGCTCCTTGGGAGTGTAGTTGGCGTGCAACGGCGAGTCCGATTCCGCCCAGACCAGTTACGGCGTACACTCTTCCTTTAACGGAGTCCATTTTGGTGTTTGTTAGGGTTTATTTGCAGGGAAGCGATGTTGTGAATTGAGAGTCTCGCTGTTGTGTGTATTGTACATGTCGGGTCTATGGATGTGACGGTTACTTTGGATAATGGCGGGGGATGGCGTGGGGATAACGTGGGGTCGGAGATTGTCCGTGGCCAATCTGAAGATATGGCCGGGTATATAGTTGCATTCAGCGGCTAAATGGTGTGTTTGGGTATCATTGAATACCCGTCTAACCCTTCGAGTCGATAGAAAGATACGGATATTCACGGTCTATAGGCCTATAATGCTGGATCTAGATATCGAAGTCGAAGACCACATTGTATGAGCCTGGAGTCCAAGTCAATCATGTTCGAAGAAGTCAAATGTTGGCAGATATATCTTCAACTTCTACATTGTTTGTGTTTCATAGATATTGATGTGATATGGTTGCCATTTTTCCTCACTGGAACATAGCCAGTCCAATTGAATCTCTCGAATCAAAGTTGTGTGTTATGCAGGCCGACGTATGCAGGTCTGTTCATCCCATCCTCTGTGGCGCATGTGCATTGGCTTGTTTGACGAAAGCGCGTATTGATCTGCCAATGTATCTGTTGATTACGATCGCCAAGTTAATTAGAGCTTGCCAAGTGCATATTTCCAAGAGAGGACCTAAATCAGTCAATTATAGAAGGATTCTAAGTGGCTTATATAAAGTGTATATAAAAGGAAGTTATACAAGGCAATTGACTTCTGGCCTCAGCCATATTGATTAAATATATGTACACGCATGTACAGTATGCATCGAAACTCCATAAAGCGCAAATAGGTATCTCAAAATGCAAGAAAAATAAACACCCCCCCAATGTCATCAAGTCAACATCCCCGACAAAAGCATCGCCCCAACCAGCAAAGAAACCCATCCCACCGCCGGACCCTTCGCCGCCGAACTTTTCTCCGTTTTGGTTCCATGTACAACGTTCTGACCATTCAAGCAGTACATGACTTTCTTCGCTTCAGCCGCAGTGCGCGAATCACAGATAGCCGTGCAAGGATCCGGATCGGAAAATATCCACACCCCATTCGAGCAACAATCCTGCAAAACATCCTTCATATCTCGGTGCGGGCTTTGTGGTTGGTACAGTGGGACCTGGTTATAAAATTGAATGTTGGAAGGCAGGGCAGGCATTGCATCGCCCGCTTTGGAGCATTCGGACGGTTGTGTGAATTGTGTGCCGTTGGCGTTGTGTATAGGAGGTGTCATTTTTGCGATTTGTAATTTTGTGTTCACCGGGATGGTCCGGACTGAGAGATTGTGACGCGAAACAGGATTTTAAGCGTTATTTAGGGCGAGGATGTGCAGTCGATCGGTGGATAGAGAGATGTTTGACATTCGGGGGAAGAGATTTGGAAGGGATTTTAGTCAAAGTCATGTCCCTTAAGCTTCTGAACCTCCTGAATAGGGTCGAGGGGGAAAATTGCCAAGAGACTATGCTTAGAGATATTGGCCTGAGAAGTGGAGCAGCTGACGGGGGCTGAGGAACATATACGGGAGGAAATGCCATTTCCTGCCTTTGATCCTATTTTTTTAGGCCCTTGTTAGTCCGTTAGTGGAATTTGGTCTTATTACGGTGCCAAAGTGAGACAGAAGCGGGAAAAAAGAATCTCATAATTCAATTTCTCCTTGCTTGATTTATGATCTATGTCTTTTTCTATCTACGGGATATGGAGTACAGTCACATTTACAACCGAGCCGTTTGATTGGCTCGTCGCCACATTCTCTTTCTGCGCTCGTGGCCTTCGTTGAAATCGGCCAGCCATTTCCGCTCAAACCGAGGTAGGCGCCGGCCTGCGCCACGAGGTTCCCCCGCGAGATTGCGAAGGGCCTCGAAGTAGGGTTCGAATTCGGGGTTGAGCACTGTGAACCCAGGACCATCGCTTTTCTGTGCAATACGGTCCGTTTCCCATTTTTCCTGCTCGGCGATCGAGGGCAAATTTGCTTTGCCGGCGAGAACGCGTGCAGCGGCGACGGCTTGCCATTCGAAGACTTTGAAGGTCAATCCAGCACCAACCTGGGGAAAGTTTCGTTAGCTTTGAATCCGGGAAATCGTTTTTCCGGTCTGATATCAACTCACTGCGCCTATAAAAACCAGAGATGGGTCATGTCTGTAAAAGACATGCTGGTAGAGATCCGGTACGCGGTTGTTCCGTGTGGCGACCTCGGGTAAGAAAGGAAGAGTCCAGCTGAAGCCAGTTCCAAAGATTAGGTGGTCGACACCGGGTTCAGAGGTACCGTCTTCGAAATGCACAGTCCGTTCGCCTTGATCATCACTCGTAATGTGTGAGATGGGCGGGCGTCGCTCGATCTTAGGGTGTTGGAAAGCGAGATCTCCAAAATAGGCGTTGTAACGACCACGGACCACAGCAATTACTGGTGTCTGGGCGCTATCAACCAGGCTCACTGCAGTATCAGCGGCAGAAACAGACGCCCCGACAGTGATGACTTTCTGCGATGTGTAAGTGGATAGTATAAAGATTTGGGGGAAACTTCATTCACCTTTCCCCGATACTTCCCAGGCCCCCGGTAATGCTTCGTATGTTGGACACTACCGGGATACCTCGCAGCGAACTCCTTCAACCCAGGAATCACAGGAATGAACGGTACAGCGTAGTGTCCGGAAGCCACAACGACTGCATCGTATTCTTCAGACCACCAGTAATCCGACTTGGCGCCGTTCACAACTTCCGTCCTGCGGAATGTGAGCACCCATTTCTGGCTGCTGGGATCTTTGATCGCGCGTTCAACAGTAGTGTTATACTGAACAAGATCCTGATATCCGTTCCGATTAAACAGGTCTTCAATATACTTCTGAATGACTGAATGGTGTCGGAAAGGCGTGTCAGCACCATGACGCTCGATCGACCACTGAGATCGAACTTCAGGAATCTCCTCTTGGGAAAACGACATAGCTCCCGCGTTCACATTAGTCTCCAGCGCCGGGTACACGGGCGAATCCATGAACCGGTCCTGGGAGACTACGGGTGTCCGGCACGGGAGGTGCTCGGGGATTTTGAGAGGCGCATCTGCTGTTCGCGCAGACAGGCCGTCAAAGTCGAACTGCTGTGGCGGCTCGTCATCTCTTGAAACCCTGTCGTTTGTTAAATTTGGTGATTGGTGAATACATCAGAGTTATATAATAACATACCAGCACCCGCCGGCCTTTTCTTGTCTCTCAAACACACGGATGACATCGAATGCTTTCTCTTGTGCTAGTGCATCAACTGCAATGGCGCCAGCTGGGCCAGCTCCGATGATGGCTATGCTCTTGATCTGCGGCATCGTATGATATCACGGATGCTTGGTGATTAGTGAGAGTTAGGGTTCATAGCAGCTTTTGAATGAAGCTGTCTCGGCCGACCTTAAAAAAGCGAATATCTGGGGTGGACTTGACTCTATCACGCCATCCGACTATGTTTTAGCGTAAATTTGGTATTGGCGTCCAATGAGAGCTCCGTAAGGTGTGAGATAGCCGAAGTCGGAGCGGTACAAAATATATAAATGACAACGACCTTCCTTTCTACAGATTAATGTAAAATTCTACACGCTGAGACACTCAAAACTCAAAGTTTCTCTCTTCCCATCGGCCAAACATCTCGGCCGTTGATTTGATTGGCTGTCGGCATTGAAGTTTTAACGTCACGTGGAGATGAGCCGGGGTTCGTCAGGCACTGCATTCTGATTGGTTCGGAGTCATTGCCTTGGGATTCAGGCCGTCACGTCGGCCAGCATGGTTCAGTGAAATAACACATGATGCAATTTGTTCAAGATAAATGATGATAATACAAGCAAAGCGAAGTCAAAGAGGCAAAAGGCCGCTAAACTAAGTAAACACATCGGTGGCATACCGCTCCTTCGTCCGCAAATTTTCAAAGAACTTGTCAGCAGCCTCATTCTCCTCAAGCTCAGCACCAGGCGGAGTCTCCCCCTTCTCCTTGAGCTCGGCATGAACTGCACGGCGCTTCTCCAGATACATCTCTCTGCAAGCATCGCGAATACCAGCACCAACACTGGTACTGCCGCAAACATAAATATTCGCACCTTCCTCAAACAGCTTCACCAGATCTTCACGGTCCTCAAGCATGAGATCCTGGACATGCTGTCCCTTGCTTCCATCAGTGGGTCGACTATACGCCCAGCGGACATCGACAGCACCCAGCGCAGCCCACTCCGCAAGTTCAGCGGAATGGATATCATCCTGGCCCTTCGTGCGGCAGCCGATATACAGCACCGCCTTGGCAGGCTTCACAGCAGCGTTGTCGTGAAGTTCATCCGAGTCAGGTGAGCTCCGGCGGCCGCGGATTCTCTCTGCGCGGTCCATGACGAATCCGCGGAACGGTGCGAGCCCGCTACCCGCGCAGGCCATGATCATCGGGGTTTCGAGGTCCATTGGTGGCTTGAAGCCTGAGTGCGAGGGGCGGACGGTGACGTGTGCGCGTTCGCCGGGTTGGAGCTCGGAGAGGTAGTTTGATGCAACACCCAGGTATTGCTGGATGCTATCGTCGCTTTCAGAGGCAGTGCTGGCGAGTGCGGGAGCACTGAGGACGCTGAAGGTGATCGAGCACTCGGATGGGTCGACAAGCGGGGATGAGGAGATGGAGTACTGTCGCACGCGCATCGGTGGTAGCATTGCGAGGAAATCGCCAATGGGGAGATTTATTGTTGGATAGCGCATTAGCAGATCTAGTGGGCTGACACGCTTCTTGACAATTTCTTCGGTGAAGCGGCTGGGGCTGGAGGCGATGTAGCGTAGTTCGGCTTGGAGCTCCTCGTCCGAAATGGCAGCGTCGGCGATGACATTGAGATCGCGCTTCGATGCGGGTTGGGATAGCTCGATGTAGGTGGATAGAAGCTCGAAGGCCGAGATCGGCGTGTCGATGGGGATCGAGGGGGAAGCTGTTGAGCCTGAGGGCTTCTGGACTTTGATTACGGCATCCCAAGGGAGATCGAAGCGGCGGATTGCACGGCGGACGACTGAGCTTGGATTCACGGGCAACACTGCAAGGTAATCACCGCACTGGTAGCTCATGTCCGATGGCAGCTTGAACTTGACCACGCGTTTAGCGGGGGCCCCGGGTGGTGTAAGCAGCTGGTTCTCAATGACGAAGCCTTCTTCGAGCTGGAGACCCAGGGTAGATGCGCGCATACCCGAGCTTACTTCCACTTGCAATGAAGACTTCGGCTTGGCAGCTTGTTGAGGGCTAGCTCCACCGAATTTGGCCATCACCGCCGGCCAGAATGAGGTCTCACCCCAGCCATCGAAATCGGTGAACATGTCTGAGTGTGCTGCATCAGCAAGACCAATATCGCAGAGCTGAGTAGCACCATTGTCCTTGACGAGTTGGTCGATAGCCTTGGGAATACGGTAGAAGGTGGACGACCAATCATGATGACCACAGCCGAATGTTGCGTAGTTGACACCTTCCAAGTCGTTGTCCTTCAGCTCACTGAGCCACTGGAAGAAGTGAGCGGCGTTATCCGGAGGCTGTCCTTCGTAAGACGCCGAGATGAATACCACAGGGTCGTTCTTGGGGATATTCTGCATGGCAGAATCCAAAGAACTTGTCTTCGCAGCGTACCCGTATGCAGTGGCATCATCGGCTAGCCTGCGGGCGAATGCCTCGCAAGTTCCCGTATTACTGCCGTAGAACACGTGCATTGGCTTCAGCTTACCATCCGCAGGTGCGACCTTGGGTTTGCGATCCCGGCTGCCGGCGCCAGTCTCTGCTGGGGGAGCAGTGGCACCACTGAGTGTGGTGCTGAGCTGCGTGGGATCGAGGCCATCTCTGAGGGTAGCCTTCATTTGGAAATCCTTGGGCTTGATGGTAAGTGTCTGCTTAATGCGGAGGTCGTAGCTTGGATTGTCCATCTGGAAGTTGAAGTTCTGGAGCAAAATCGCAACCACAAGGAGAGCCTCCTGCCATGCGAAGGGTCGTCCAATACAGCCTCGCATGCCATTTCCAAATGGTTTCCATGCGTTCTTGGGCAGCTTTTCAAAGTTTTCATCGAGCATGCGTTCTGGTTTGAACTCATCGGCATCAGGGCCGTAGACCTTAGGGTCACGCTGCATTTTTCCAAGCATGAGCGCAATCGTCTCGTCCTTGTGAAGCACATATTTGCCGCCTCCTAATGTAACAGGATCCTCCTTATTCTTAGTGGGGTGAGGGTGCAGGGCAATCAGCGGGGCTGTTGGCTTCAGACGCAGC